CAATTTCTTCCTGTAGTTCAGTGAGACACTGCCGCCACCTGGTGGCCTTATTCCTTTTCCTCCGAACTCATCCTCTATCAAAAAATGTGTTTTGTAGACTTAGTTTTAATAAATGATAGTGATCAGTGTCAATCTCACTGACAAACACATTACATTACCTGCAAATACTTATAAAAGCCAAACTGTTTTTCACCAGTTAGTAATTATAATGAAAACTTTAGTTATACAGCACTTTTCAAAACTAACTTACAAAGTTGCAGTACAAAGACACAATTAATAAAGATGTGATTGAGTTCATTTGACAATAATACCTAAGTTACAATAGAGATCACTGTAGATACAGGGCAGAGGTCAGCACTGTAGATACAGCGCATATGTCTGTACAGTTTATTTGATTAATATAATAGTAACAATTTTCAGATCAACATTAATATGTTGTATGTTGTTTTTTTAATCCATACACAAACAGAAATCTTAAAATTGACAATTTTTAATTTTCAGGCAACCAGCATACATTTAATCTTGAACTGAACTTTAGATGGGATCATGTGGGTTTGTGAGTGAGGAGTAGATATGGTCCTGGTCCCTGCTGGCTGGAGTTAGGCTCTGGTAGAGGGGGTCTTCATTTGTGGAGACTGGAGCCCTGTTCTCGTGGGTGACAGATAACTAAAAAACATAAAAAAACACATTAAACATAAAATGATCACTGATCCAGAGACAGCAGAGTATCTATCAGCATATTTTGAGGCTTTTCTACCCTCTATATTTTATTTTCTTCTACATCTACAGTTGATATTAATGACACTAAAACAGAAACAGAAAGAGTTAAAGGGAGTTACCTCCATATTTCTGCCATGTGAAGTTCTTAAGTTTCTGGTTTTCCATTTGTAGAGGAGCAGCAGATAACCAGCCAGCAGCACAGAAATCACAGCACCACACACAACCAGAGGCCAATAGTTATCTGGGCGAGAGACACAGTAGAAGAATGGGAAGGAAGGTTAAGAGAGAGAGAGAAGAGGTGTATTCATAGTCAAAACATAGGAGAAATAAAATAATACTAGAAATATCAAATAATTTGTTGCCAGAGAACGACTGATTGATGGAAGGACAAACAATCCTGAGTCCAGCGGTGGAATATAACATCAAGTACTCAAGTGTTGTACTTAAGTACTACCACTGACAATAGCTGAGCCTTCCAAGAGTATCGGAGAAACTATGGTGGCAGTGAAACTTGTGAAGGGTCCTATCTAAAGCCAGTGACCTGCTGCCTCTGTAGATAAAAACGACTAATTCTAAAGTAATGAAAACACAAATATTCTTATTTTCAGGTGATTATACCACTAATGAAAACAGTATCTATTGAATATTTATAATTCCATTTCTGACAATATATCTACCTAATGCTTACATACTTGCGACCTAATAGCACATTTTCGAAGCAGCACTTCTACTTGTATCAGATTATTGCTGACAGGTGTGGGGTATTAAGTACTTTTACCAACAGCTAAATAACACTAAAAAGTTCCTCCATCACTGTGGTGCTATCTGACCTGAACACTGGGCCGTTGGTTAGAATCAGGATCCTTAATCAATACTGACACCAAGACAATCCTGACAGGGAGAGTTATTGCTCTAGGAATAGGATTTAAGTTGTTGGTTCCTGTTGTGGGACAGCAGGTGGATTTAAAAACTACATTTTCTCTATAGAGCCCAAAGTGGCAGGCGGGTGTTTAACAGCCCTCCTTAATTAAAACAGCTGAATCAACTTCAGATTTCACAACATGAATACAAAGCGTAACTCTGATCCGGGGACGTCGCATTTACTTATATTTCTATTTACAGTTTATATTGATCTGTAGCAAGCTCGGATGCTACAGGACGGGGGTTTACCTCAGCACACAAGTTAATCACACCGGACGTTGGAACACACACGCACTTTATTAGGCAGGGTTGCTCACAATGTACGACACTGGATGGCATAGGCCCTCTTGGCTTGGTTGCTCGCAGGATACTCCTGGTTAGGCGTCTCTCTCTGGGTCCAGCGCACTAACTGCCAAGATAAAGTGGTAGAGTCCTTTATTAATCATCAGAAGGGTGAGTTTTGATCAACTCACTGTGTTGCGCTTCTCCAAAGCCTTCCCACAACCTTCTGCTCCTGCAGCTAGCGCAAATCCACGCCCACCCCCACATTGTCCTAAGAATACGTTAATATTCGTCAATACTGGTCACAGCACAATACAGCACAGTCTATCCAAAAGTATCAGGTATAAAGGAAACTAAAAAGTACTTTACATCAGGTTACAAGTAAATACGATGAATGTCAAACTACCTTACTTTATTTCAGTTAAAAGTATAAAGGTATACAGCCAGTTCTAAAATCAGCTTTACTCAAATATCAAATGAATAAACGTCTGTTTCAATAATATCAAAAGGATATTGTTTATCATGCGACAGCAACACAAACTGTCTGTGAGTAAAGCTGGTGAGCTGACAGGAAAAGAACTGCTGCACTTCCTTTTTTTACTTAACACTGACAGAGATAAGACAGAGATGACCACTAACTGCACAAACCACAGGGTTGCCAAATCTCATGTTCTCTGCCATTAGACACTCACATTCACGTCCTNNGAGGAAGAGAAAACAGCCACTCATCCATTTATAGCTGTTCAGAACAGCTACAGTCACACAAGGCAGAAGATGGTGGTTAAATGTATTTGGCAGATTGAAATAAGTTTCACGTAGGGCCCAGTGCTGTAGTGCAGGGCCCACGCAGGTATACGCTGCATACCTACTTATTTTATTCTAAATCCATTCTGATTAACATTAGTGTGCTGCAAGCCAAATTCTTTTTCCTAGGATGGTGAAGGCATGACCCACCCAACTCCTTGTTGCCTTCTTTGGCTTGATGGGTTATGTTTAGCCATGAGGAGTGAGATTGGTTAGGTTAGGGTAAGAATGGGCGGGTCATGCCTTCGCTTTGCCATCTTTGGAAAGAAAATATGTTAGCATGCTAACTTTTCCTAAAAACAGAGTGCAGCTGAGGCTGATGGGAATGTTTTACAGGTATTTGAACTGACTTTGGTCAGATTTTGACTACGTTATACGGTTCATTGATGATTCATCCAATCAGTATTCTTGAAAGTGCCTGCCATTTTCCAAAATGTTTCCCACAAGAACTTACAACAAGAAAATCGTGATGAATGATATTGCAAACCCAGTATTGTGAATTGTATCAAATCGTGAAAGTATTTTTACATCTCTACCACCCTGGGTAAGAAGTTACTAGTGATTAAATTAGGAAGCGAATAAGTTATTAGCTGTATTAGTATATGGATGTTCTGTTGAAGCAGTTTGAGTTTCTGTAGCTTGTGTTCTTCTGTCTGTTGAGCTGTGGTGGCTGTCACTGCTAATTCTAAACAGCTTAGTTGTTCTGAACAGTCCAAACCATCGACATATATTAAGATAGACGACATGACAGCTCTCCAAAAGTGAAGAAATACATCTCGATCTCCCCCTGGTAGCTGCAGTATAGCACATAAAGCCAGCTGCCTCCATGTTAGCAGATGGGACAAACTAAAAACCTCAATATTGTGGCACCAACCCCAGCTTCATTTTTGTAAAACTGCAGGAAGTGGAGATGCAATGTCCATCTTTTTTATGTTGATAGACCAAACATGTCACTTCCTGTGTGGAAGGAGCAGCGTGGTTGCAGTACTTACAGTAGACGGTGGGGTTAAAGGGGGCGCTGTTCTTCG